ACACACACACACACACACACACACACACACACACACACACACACACACACATACACACACACACACAAACCAACGGTGAAAAGTAGCGGTACTTTCTGGAGAAGTGTGGCTTCCTTGATAAGCAGAAGCAAATAATAAATACCTCGTTGTCTCGAAGTTCATTTTGGTTTCTACAACAACAATTTTAAAAAATCTCTTTATGACCTACTTATTAACACATTCACCAGGCACGACAACCTTATCTATCTCTCTGCGCTGACGGTCACTCTGTGTTCCTTTAAAAGCCGATGATAAGGCGACAAAAAAATCCCCAACAACTTATTAAGTTATTTGAGACTATGAGAGGATTTCATACACACAAGACACATTGTCACAGGCAGCCTTCAAGACTTTCATTTGGCAGATGTAAGTGTTGTTGTTGTTGTTGTTGTTGTGGTGATGAGGATGATGATGATGATGATGATGATGATGATGATGATGATGATGATGATGATGATGATGATGATGACGATGATGATGTAAAGTAAATGTTAAAGTAATGATATCGGTGACGCTATGATGACGCAGGTGTGGTTGTTTGCCTGTTTTGTTTGTTTGTTTGTTTATTTCCGTTTCTTTTATTGTTGTTGTTTTTCAGATGAGACCAAGATGTTCGAGATGGTGGATGGCACGCGTCACTGCTGTAGCCTTAGCAACAACTATCTGTGTGTACATTATGTCACTGAAGAGCTTTCAGATATTGAAACCACCAAAAGTGAGACAGAAAACAGCAGCTGTCCATGATCAACCGTTCCAAAGAAATATCTTTTCTAAATGGATTTCCGGCGTGAAGGAAGTGAATATTCCTCCTTACGTGCCTCTCCATAAAGTCCTGTCAGACCTAAGACCTACCGAATACACCAAAAGAAAAGACACTCTTATTCGGCGTGGATTTGGCCTTGATGATTACGTCACCGAAAACGGAGAGGAAGCCTGGATTGAGAATGGCGTCGTGTACCGATCTTACCCATATCTCGAACCTGCGGAAAATAAATACTACTCTGCACACTTTGAACCCTACATTCCCTTTGACCCGGAAGTGTTTTTTCAAGGGCAAAGAGAAAAAGTGGAAATGTTTAAAGAAACAACAGAAAGAAACGGGAGAAAACAGGTTCAAGGGACAAAGGTGAAGAGGAAGATCATACTGTGGTACATCCAGAAGATGAGTGCGCCGAAACTGGGCGATCTGCAGCCTCTGAGGATGTGTCCTGATCTACCGTGTCTGCAGACGTCCAACGAAGCTTATGTGGAAGATAGTGCAGCTATGATCGTTAATGGTAGGTTTTCCGTTATTGTTGTTGTTGTTGTTGTTGTTGTTTCAATATGTGATAGTGGTTTTGTTGTTGCTGGTAATGTTGTGTATTTCCTGTTCTACCGGGTCTACAAACTTCCAATGAAGACAATGTGGAAGAAAGTGCAGCCATGATCGTTAATGGTATGTTTTCTCAATTGTTGTTGTTGTTGCTGCTGTTGTGTGTGTGTGTGTGTGGAGCGGGGGGGGTGTGGGGGGGGGGGGTGTGTCCTGAACTACCCTTGTCTACAAACTTCCAATGAAGATAATGGGGAAAAAAGTGCAGCCATGATCGATCATAAATGGTAGGTTTTCCTCGCTTTTGTTGTTGTTGTGGTTGTTGTTGTGTGTGAGTGTGTGTGTGTGTGTGTGTGTGTGTGTGTGTGTGTGTGTGTGTGTGTGTGTGTGTGTGTGTGTGTGTGTGTGTGTAAGTGTGTGTGAGTGTGTGAGTGTGTGTGCGGTAGCCTATCCGTTCGAAATGTTGGGAGCCCCGAAGAGCGAGCTCTTCGTCAGGGCCACCGCCTCTCTTGGGTAGCGGGTGAGGCAGTCCAACCTCCCTGAATCCTCCCCAAAGAGATGCCACCGCCGGACCTGTTGTTGTTGTAGTTGTTGTTGTTGTTGCTGTTGTTGCTGTTGTGTTGCTATTGTAGTTATTGTTACTACTGCTTCTGCTGCTGCTACTGTATGTGTGTCCTGATCTACTTAAATTCAACAACGCATTGTTTTTGCTTTTCTATTTTTCGGGGATTTTTTTATATGGGAAACTATCAGAGCAGTGCATTTTCGAGAAAATACTATCAGAGCCTCACACTATCAGAGCTGTACACTTTATTACGATATCGATAGAATTAGAATGCCGATTCCATCCAACGGCTACAGTCCCTTGACAAAATTGCTCTGTACAACCCCCATCCAAATATATTTGTCTTTCTTCTGATGTCAAGCGATTTCCAGACTATTTCTAAGCTGAAACTTAATTTACAAACCAAACACAAAGGCACTACCAAGAAAGAAGTGCGAGAATGTATAACAAGCAAATTTACGCTGATGGACAAGTCTCAATATGTTACTTCACACTTATAACGTTTATTGGTAAGTTACACATCTACGTGTTGACATAGCCCTGACTGGAGATTGTTACAATATCTGGTTAGTACTTAATTGTGTAGATCATGCTAGTTTTACATTCCTCTGCTCTTTCGAGTCACGAGGTGGGCACCCTCTGTCCCGAAGGATCCGAAAACTTGCACGAAGTCTCATACTCTGGTGGTGACATTGTCAGTATTAGTACCTATACTACATGGCCAAGACGAGTAGGTAGAGGGGAACAGCAGATAGAGATACAAATTTTGCTGGTATGGGAGTTGTGTTTTTGTGTTTGCATCTTTACGTTTAGTCTCTTCTTAATACGTGTGCACTTATGTTGATTTTACTCGATCATACCCTGTTTGGTATACCTTTATCTCATGAGTTGTTGTCAACCGGATCGATTATCGAAAATAATAAGCACCATAACTTGTGGGTTGACCTGTGTGACGTCTCACCGTCCCGGGGCGAGTGGAGGCATCACAATATAATGAAACCCACTTTATCCGGGGGAAACCCCCTATACTTCCTAACTCTGTCATTATTCCTTACAGGCCAGTACATCTTCGGACACCCACCGGCCCGACGACCCGACCAAGTCCTCGTCTACTACCAAATCGAACCGCCGGGGCCCAAACACTGGAGTCATGGGGGGCCCCATCGGTCGCCGGGGTGGTCATCTGCCTTCAACTGGACAATGTCTTACCGCCTGGACTCAGACGTTGTGACGCATTACGGGCTGGTGCGGCGCAGGAGGAAACCCAGGGCGCCGCGGAACTATGCCGAGATCTTGGGCAATAAAACGAAACTGGTGGCGTGGATCACGTCAAACGACGAGACGGCCAGCGATAGAGAAGGCTACGTTAAAGAGCTCCAAAAGCAGGGAATAGACGTAGACATTTTCAAACATCATCCAAACTGTACTCGGCTTAGAGACCCGGAATGTACTGCTATGGTAGGGCAAAAGTACAAATTCTACTTGGCACTTGAAAACTCTTACTGTCAGAATTACATAACAGAAAAGTTCTATAAATACTTTGACCTAGACCTTGTTTTGATAACGCTCGGGGAGAATGAATATTCAGAAATTGCCCCCAAAGAGACGTTTATAAATACGGCAGACTATAAGTCACCGAAAGAACTAGCAAGTCGGCTGAAATTCTTAGATTCACATGATGACGCTTATCTACAGATACTGAAGGAAAAGGACAAATATTTTTCGATACACGAAAACCATAACGCCTTCCCCGACGGAATATTCTTAGAGGATCGATACGAGGCTGTCCCTGTCTGCCACTTATGTCACCGACTTTGGAATCTGGATCGATATCGTAAAACTATATCGAACATTACAGAGTGGTACAGTGCCTCACGCTGTCGAGCGGCTACGAATAATATTCCCGATCATGGAGGCTTCGAATGACTGTGATGCTCTTGACTAAATTGGACTTAAACTTGTATTGTTTCAGTTTCAGTTTTAGTAAGAGTTTTACGGCACTTGCAACGCAATACGGTCAAATAAGTGTCGGCGGAGACGAGAGGTATTATAAGAGAGTAACCAAAATAAAAAAGAAGGAGGAAAGATCAGGAAGATAAAAGTTTTTACAGGAAAGAAGGAGCAAATCACGCCTGTTCACCTGTCAGCCACTTGCGAACTTTTAGTACTTTGAGTACTGAAAAAGATCACGTGGATCTTCACCCCGGACCATGATGGAGTCAAGGGCAATGAGCGGACTGATGAGCTCGCTGGGAAAGCAAAACCAGAAGGGAAGCTGAAAAGGACTTCGTGAGCTTGGAATTGGATGGGACGCTTGCAGAAGTTCAAGACTTAGTGGGATGAGCAGAAGGCTATGGAATCAACCATAGATTGGAACCGTCAGCATCTACATACTTTGAGATGTGCTTTTTCAGGGGACGGAGCGCTTATGGGGATGCCCCTTGCCCATTGATTTCGGTGCTTCACACAAGTAACAAGTAACAAGTACCTTGAGTATGAGTTTAAATATAGAGAGTACAGTTGGCGGGTGCTCTGGTGAGATTTTCTCCTTCTTTCCTATCCAGTATTCTATCGCCCGTATCTCTCCTCGTTCATCTCTACGTATGTTACTATCTAGTATCTCTCCTTGTTCGTTTCTATGTGCATTGTATGTTACTCTCTGGTACCTCTCCTTGTTCGTTTGTAGGTATGTTACTCTCTGGTAACACCTCTAACCTGTGGCACTTAGTATGACCAATCTGTGTTGCAACTGCCGTAAAACTCGTACTACTAAAGGAGCAACAAAACTTGTTTAATGAGGGAAGAGAAGCACATTGATACAGTCACAGTCATTTTGTGCAAGGATAAAACAAAGCAGAGGGACCAGAACGACAAAGGAAAGAAAGACGTCCACTTCTAACGTCTTCACACAAGAAATGAAAAGTAAAGTTGATTACCTGGCGGCTCTCGTGGCCTAGAGGTTAAGGTGCTGGCCTCTCATTCAAAGGTCCCGGGTTCGAATCCGGGTAGCGACCAAAAATTTTCTTCTCTAAAATTGTCTCCTTTCACCTCCTTTCCTGCTGTCCAGCAATGTTCTGTTTTCTGCCCCCACCCCCTCACCTCTTTTGCCCCCTCCTCTGGGCTCCTGACTGTTTCTGCAGCCTTTCTACTGCTACTCCTTGGCTCCTCCTTACTGCTGTCTTTCTGCCACACCCCTGATCTTCTGGTAAGAAAGATCTACTCCCAGCCTTCTCGGACAAGGGCGAAAAATCTCAGAGGGCCCGTGTGCAAGTTGCGGACGTTGAAGATCCCTTGGTGGTCTAAAATCGATAAGAGTAGGCTTCGGCCGCCACCCAGGCAAAATTAAAAAATGGCCTACCAACTGAAAACATTAGGTGTGTCCCGCGCGCTCATATGACCTTATGCAGTTGCAAGCGACGTAAAACACTTTTCAAAAACAAAAAGGGATTGCCTTGTTAGTGAGACAACTTTCTCTTCCTGGGCTTTCGGCCTATTGTGGTAGGGTGGCCAGTTCCTTTCCACGCCGAGTTTACTTCCCCAACTCCTAAGTTAGGTACCCATTACTGCTTGGTGGGCCGGAGGGGGCGAAAAAATCAGTGTCCGAACCGAGGCTCGAACCCGGAGTTTCTGCTTCGGAGACGAGCGTAGTAACCGCTCTGCCACCGTATACAAGTCATAGCCAATGTCAATATAGGTATTGGGTTTGTGGGCGAATTTGTGTGTATCTATGCGTGTTTGCATGCGTGTATGTGCGTGTGTGTGTGTGAGTGTGTGTGTGTGTGAGTGTGAGTTTTTTGTTTGTTGTTGTTGTTTATCTTTTGGGGAGGGGGTTGTAAGTGTTTGCGTGTGTGCGTGTGTGCGTGTGTGCGTGTGAGCGTGTGAGCGTGTGTGAGTGTAAGTGCGTTTCTTTTCTTGTTGTGTGCATATTCGTGAATGCATGTGTCTGTTAGTGTGTGCGCTTACCGCGCGCGCGCGTGTGTGTGTGTGTGTGTGTGTGTG